AGACTAACAAGAATTGTTACTCCTTTTTTTATCAGGGACCAAAATTTTTACTCAGGGAAAACAAAAATTTTGTTATCGGGGACACAGATTTTTACTCGGGACACAGAATTTTTACTCGGGGACCGAATTGTTACTAGGGACAAGAATCTTTTATGGGGGAAAGAATTTTTAAAAAAATCCCCGGGACACAAAATGTTATGGGGACACAGAATTTGTTATCACAGAATCATTGAATTAAAGAGTATGTCAGACAACACGCAGAGGAGTGCAGAGGAGGCAATGTTTGAGGAGCGAGCAGACGTGGGCAGCAGAGGAAGGGGTCGAGGGCAGCACTAGTCGCAGCCAGATGGACAGTGCTCCCGGTGTCATCCAGCGGTCGTGTCTCCACCGACAACCCTGCCGTCATCGATTGGTTGGCTCAGTCGTCTTCCTCTTCCAGGTCACCTCTGACACCTACAGCCAACGGTCGGTGGGTACGTCAGACACAACCGTTAGTTGGCATGGCCGGGAGCAAGCCCACTGAAATCACGTGTCCTCTACCTGCCCCTGTCCTTTGGTGTTCCCTCACCAAGCGAAGTATCGCATGCTGTGGGCTCAGCCCACTGTACAGTGAGGAAGAGCTAACAGAGGGCGGTCAGGAACGGGGGGGAGACATCCGCCTCTTCAGCAGCCAGGCGAAGAAGTACTGGCGAGGAGAGTGGCTCGGTAGCCGGTCTAGAGACAGGTCTGTCTCCTGACCCACACGCAGCCGAGGGGCTAGTAGTGAGACGGAGACCCTAATTGATGATGATGAGGCTGATCGCACTTGGCAGCCTCGTCGTCATCAGGCTATTGCTTCCGCATCATCAGGAGAAGAGGGTGGCAGCTTGGCAGCGAGCAAAACAGTCGGTGGGTTGCCCAGGAGGCAGCAGGGTCGCAGCAGTGTCAGTGGAGGCAAACGGCCACGGAGTAGAGCACCAGCTCCACTGCAGCCTACCACCACGGCCAGTAGTGGTGCCGGTGTGCACGGAGAAAGTAGCAGTCAGCCAGTGAGGAGTAGCGGGGGCAAAGTTTCCTACTCGGCGGTGTGTGGCAATTTTTCGTCAAGCCGCCCGAGGAAGTAAACGTAGCCGTATGTCGACTATGTGGCCAGAAAGTCAAGCGTGGCCAGGGGGCCCATGTTGGGACTACAGCGTTGCGTCAGCATATGCAGCGTCGCCATTCGGTGGCCTGGGAAAACCGTGATAAAGATACGGCGGTTCTGCCTGCCCCAGCCCCCGCTCCATCACCCGCTCCGTTACTTGCTCCGTCACCCGACGTCAATCGCCCTCTATCAGCCAGTCAAGGCTCCAACACCTCTGCTGAGGGGAGTTGTCGCTCGTTGGCATCTTCCGCTCGTTCAGATGCTCCTTCTCCTGCTACTCCTCTTCACGGATTCCGTCAGCAGTCTATCTTGGAATCCGTTTCCAAGAGACAACAGTTTGCGAGCACGCACCCGACGGTGCAGAAGCTGAACGTCCTCCTGTCCAAGTTGCTGGTGCTGCAGTCCCTCCCTTTCCAAGTGGTGGACTCAGCACCTTTCCGAGAAATGATGGCTTGTGCCGAGCCGCGGTGGAGAGTGCCAAGCCGTCATTTCTTCGCCAAAAAGGCAGTGCCAGCCCTGCATTCACATGTAGAAGAGATGGTGGGCCAGTCTCTTTGAGCATGTCGGTCTCTGCCAAAGTGCACGGCAGCGCCGACGTGTGGAGCTGTAACTACGGTCAGGGACAGTACATGTCATTTACGGCCCACTGGGTGAACGTGGTGCCGGCACAGCCGCACCAGCAACTTGGACAGGTCACGCCGCTTTTGTCTCCACGTTTGCACGTCCTTGGTCCAGCAAAGATGTCCGCCTCTACCACTCTTCTTCCGCCGTGTCCTCAGCCGCCACCCCCGTGCCAAGTCCCATTACCCGACGGGCATATCACATGTGCAGGGCGCAACGGTGTCACGCTGTGCTGCACCTGGTATGCCTTGGCGAACGTAGTCACACAGAGGAGGAACTTCTGAGTGTAATGAACAGAGAAATCGACAGATGGCTGTCTCCGCGCAAACTGAAAATCGGAACCATGTTGACTGACAACGGAAAGAACATGGTGTCTGCTCTGCGTCAAGGAAGGTTTGTGCCAAGCGCCATGCATGGCTCACGTGTTCAATCTGGTTGTCAAGCGGTTCCTAAAATCCACCATCCCACTGCAAGACATCCTTAAAATGTCACGTAAACTTTGCATGCATTTCAGCCATTCCTACACCGCAAAGCACACCCTCCTTGAGCTGCAGCGGCAGAACGGAATTCCACAGCATCGCCTGATCTGCGACGTTGCAACAAGGTGGAATTCAACCCTACATATGTTAGACCGCCTTTACGAACAGCGAAAGGCCATCACCGATTTCCTGATGTTACAAGCGGAATAAAGGTACTCCCTGTGTAACTTAGATGTCAGCCATTGGCAGCTCATGCGTGACACCTGCCGCTTGCTCAGGCCCTTTGAGGAGGCCACGCTATTCGTGAGTCGGCAGGACTATGGGATGAACGACGTCATTCCTCTGTTGCACATCCTGGAACAAATGCTGTTAACAATGGCTGGTCAGGGTGCGGTAGACGTGGCGCACAGATCTCAACGCCACATGACCCCTGTGGGGGCAGGACAGGAAGAAGAGGAGGAGGTAGAGGAGGACATTGGTGCTCAGGAATTATTGAGTGAAATGGGTGGTTTTTCCACTCAGCGGACAGGAGTGGAGGAGCAGGAGCATCTGGTAGAGGAGGAGGAGGAGACAGAGGACCCAGACGCACCATGGCAGTATGCTGTGGAGATGGAGGCAGGGAGTCCCTCGCATTCCTTGGCACAAATGGCCCATAGCATGCTCGGTTGCTTGCGTAGCGACAGCCGAATAATAACCATCAGACAGAGGGATGACTTTTGGCTGTCCACCTTGTTGGACCCTCGCTACCGTTCAAAAATGGTGGCCTTTTTCACACCTGCTGAGAGGGAGGCCAAAATAACGTACTATAAAAACCACCTATGTAGTCAGTTGGTCTCTGCCTTTCTGCGCCAACGTCCATCCTCAGACACTGTGGGCCCTGTGCGCTCGCGTTCCGCTGCCATGGCAGCAGGGGAGGGGTGGGGTGGTAGGAGCAGTGGCAGCTCCACCAGCAGCGGCTGCCTCAGTCTGCAGCCGATGATGAGTAGCTTTCTTCACCAGCGCAGTGAGGAAACTACTAACCAGCCGCAGCAGCAGCAGCATCAGGTGGACCTGGAGCAGGACCTCAAACAACAGGCTTGGGCCTACTTGGACAGCACCCTGCCAACCGAGGTAGACAATCCCCTTGACTACTGGGCAACGAAACTTGACCTTTGGCCCCAACTAGCTGAATTTGCCCTTGAAAAGCTGTCATGCCCGGCCAGTAGCGTGGCATCGGAGCGCGTGTTTTTAGTGCGGCAGGAGGTATTGTAACTCCGCGGAGGACACGACTGTCCACCCAAAGTGTGGAGAGACTCACGTTTGTGAAAATGAATCAGGCGTGGATTAGTCTGGATTTCAAACCACCAGTTCCTGACACAACTGACTAAATCCGCCATGAATCATGCCCCAAACATGTTATTATTTTTAACATAGGCCTCTGTATGGCCTTCAATTTAAGCTGCTTACGCTTCGCCACTCTGCCATGGGCCCCTGTACCGCCTCCTCTTGCTGCTGCCAGGTCCAGAGTGTGTCATGGGTCCCTGTACGGCCTCCCATTGCTGCTGTCTCCATCGCCACACTCTGCCATGTGCCACTTTCAGGTCTCCTCACACTGCTGGTGGGTTCCATTTTGTCATAGGGTGCTGGCAGATTACGGGCCTCCATTGCTGCTGCCAGGCCCGTAATCTGCCATGGGCCCCCGTACCGTACCTGACTCCTCATGCTGCTGCCAGGCCCGTAATCGGTCATGGGCCCCTGTACCGCCTCCTCATGCTGCTGCCAGGTCCAGAGTGTGTCATGGGTCCCTGTACGGCCTCCCATTGCTGCTGTCTCCATCGCCACACTCTGCCATGTGCCACTTTCAGGTCTCCTCACACTGCTGGTGGGTTCCATTTTGTCATAGGGTGCTGGCAGATTACGGGCCTCCCATTGCTGCTGCCAGGCCCGTAATCTGCCATGGGGGCCCCCGTACCGACTCCTCATGCTGCTGCCAGGCCCGTAATCTGTCATGGGCCCTGTACCGCCTCCTCATGCTGCTGCCAGGTCCAGAGTGTGTCATGGGTCCCTGTACGGCCTCCCATTGCTGCTGCCAGGCCCGTAATCTGCCATGGGCCCCCGTACCGACTCCTCATGCTGCTGCTGCCAGGCCCGTAATCTGTCATGGGCCCCTGTACCGCCTCCTCATGCTGCTGCCAGGTCCAGAGTGTGTCATGGGTCCCTGTACGGCCTCCCATTGCTGCTGCCAGGCCCGTAATCTGCCATGGGCCCCCGTACCGACTCCTCATGCTGCTGCCAGGCCCGTAATCTGTCATGGGCCCCTGTACCGCCTCCTCATGCTGCTGCCAGGTCCAGAGTGTGTCATGGGTCCCTGTACGGCCTCCCATTGCTGCTGTCTCCATCGCCACACTCTGCCATGTGCCACTTTCAGGTCTCCTCACACTGCTGGTGGGTTCCATTTTGTCATAGGGTGCTGTATGGCCTCCCATTGCTGCTGCCAGGCCCGTAATCTGCCATGGGCCCCCGTACCGACTCCTCATGCTGCTGCCAGGCCCGTAATCTGTCATGGGCCCCTGTACCGCCTCCTCTTGCTGCTGCCAGGTCCAGAGTGTGTCATGGGTCCCTGTACGGCCTCCCATTGCTGCTGTCTCCATCGCCACACTCTGCCATGTGCCACTTTCAGGTCTCCTCACACTGCTGGTGGGTTCCATTTTTTCATAGGGTGCTGTATGGCCTCCCATTGCTGCTGCCTCCACCGCCACACTGTGGCTCCACACTCTGGTTTTGGCCCCGTGACTGCCCAAATGAGTGAAGTGTGCGGTGATTCTAAGATCGACGGCACTCATCTGCATGTCATACTGACTGACAGTATTATTTCTCTTCCCCAGCAGACTCCAAGGGCATTTAAATTAAAGGTACAGTGTTCTGCACTAATATAAAGGCTCTCTGAAGCCTAGAAACACCCTTTTTATAAGTTAAATTCGCAGCGAATATATTCGACTCGAATCGAATTTATTCCGCGAATTCGCCGAATCAGCCGAATCGAATTTTTGAATAATTCGCTCATCTCTAGAGACTAGCATGCAAGAAAAAAAACCCCATGCAGGCACAGGGAGAACAAGCAAACTACAGGCAGGTGGTGCTGTGGCTGGGATTCAAACCAGCAACCCTACTACTGCTAAGCAGAAGTGCTAACCATTTAGCCACTGTGCTGTCCAGTTTTTAATTTTACCATCAACTGTGTAGTGTAGGGTGCCTGCCTGACTGGATACAAATTAAATGGATTGTTTATGCTTGTCTCTATATATTACATAATTTTGGTTCATTGAAATGAAATTTCACAGAAATTGTATGGTTATAGGTCATATAATGTATTGCCAGCATAACAAGGGAATTCCCATAAAGCCAGCCATATATGGATCAAAATTAGGCAGGTTCAGTGGCAGCTGGCTGAATTTTGATCAATGCATGGGCACCCTGGTTGCAAAGAAGCAGGGGCGGACTGACCATTTGGAAACTCGGGCACTGCCCGAGGGCCCGGGGTCAGTAGGGGGCCCCATGAGATGCCCCTGGTAATTTTTCATAGGCTTTTTTGAGTTTAGGCAAGGACACAGGGGCCCCATGATCCCCTATTGCCCGGGGGCCCCATGAGTTGTCAGTCCGCCCCTGCACAGAAGTCAGTCTATCAATTGACTTCTGTACAACCACCCTGTTGGGTTTTTCCAGAATGATCAGTGCCACTGGCTATAGCTGGCAACACTGACCATTATGTTCTGATGGCAGAGAACACACAATAGTACAGCGGGAGCGATTCCCTCATCTACATTGAATGTGTGGATGGGGGAATCGGCACATTTTTTTTTTCCGTTAATCCCACCGATTGATTCCTAACTTTGGCCTCATTCATACAGCAAACAAATGCAAGACTGAAAGTGACTACAGCTGCCACCAGTGTTGGGATGTAATTACACTGCCAGTGCTATGATTGCTTTCTACAATATGGGTGATTAGCAGCTGCCTGGTCTGTCCATACTGTATCTATTGAGTGTCACCTTCATCTTGGGTGTCGCCCAGTTCCAAGGAGAAGACTCCCATGTCAGATCTGCAATTGAATAGGCAGCTATTGAGTATTGGTATTACCTTTGGTTCACATATATGCGGCCATGCAGGCCGTGTTTTGTATGAGCACTTTCGGTGGTATTTGATTGCCTCTGCGTTTTAAATTTTTTGCGCTATAATAAAAAAAAACACAAAACGAAAAAAACATTTTTTATTTTTTGCTATTAAACATGTCCAGTAAAAAAATAAAAAAAAAATCAAATTTCATCATAAATTTAGGCCAAAAAATATATTCTGTTACATGTCTTTGCTAAAAAAAAAATCCCAATATGTGTAAATTAATTGGTTTACGTGAAAGTTTTAGCATCTACAAATAGCGGAATATATACTGGGATTTTTTTTTTATACCAGTAATGTTCGTGATCAGCAATTTATAGCGGGACTGCAGCGGGCATTCTGACACTGGGGGGGATTGACTGTCACTGACACCAGTACAGTGATCGGTGTTAATAAAAAGCACTGATACTGTACTAATGGCACTGGGCAGGAAGGGTTTAACATCTGGGGCGATCAAAGGGTTAACTGTGTGCTGTGCTTTCCACCTAAACACACTGATTTGTATGGCTCTGCTATGAAGAGCCATACAAAGCAGTGTGCAGGAGCTGACAGGGGAGAGATCTGTATTGTTCACACACAGGTCTCTCCCCCGTCCATGATACTCGGTGATCACTGGGTGGCGGCAGGGAATCACCGCTGGCACCCGGTGATTGACAGCCGAGGCCGCCAGTGGCTGTGCGGGTAGGGCATGCGTGCCTCCTACCCGGAAATGCAAAATTATGTATATATGCGTTAAAGAGGAACTACACTGCATCTAATAAATCACAGGGTAAGTGAGCGCTTAAAATAAAATGATAAATATGAATAAAATGAGATAATAGCAGCTGAACACCAAAAAAGGTACCATATAAACCTCCAAAATAGTCAAAATACATAAAAGGGGGGGGGTGCAGCAGCGCTAAGTTATTGTGCTTAGAGCATATAAACATGTTCATGCAAGGAAAACAGCATGGTAAGACAATATTAAAGTGCAAATAAAGGTGCAAATCAAAATGTCACCTATTGGTGACTATAGGTGATTGGACACTAAACCACAACACAGTCTATGACGTGATCAAGAAAGATCCCAAAAAGATCTTCAAAAAATCCAATTGCTGGATCCGTGGATGAGGTGATAAATATGTAAAGATTGCGCACTCACCAGATACGCAATCACAATGCGCATTCAAAGCAGATACTCTCAGGACATCCAGGATCCTTATATGAGTCTGGTCAGATCTGGTCAAATGCCCCTCGCCACTTGATAGTATTGCCACACATGAAAAAAAGGCCGCTCTGCAGATGTGAATGACTCCCACCGGAGCTCAAAGAACAAAGGAGGCCAAATAGTGTAATACCTTAATGGCAAAGGGTGTTTATTCCCAAAAAAACACAATACAGGCAGGAGCAGGAAAGATACTGACCATGCATATGTAAGTTTGCAAATGGTCGTCACACCGCTGTAGCCGCTCCCAGACGCGTTTCGTGCGAAGGCACGTAGTCATAGGGGGTTAGCTTCCTTTTATGTATTTTTACACTGCATCTAAGCAGCACAAACCAAAAATTTAATTTAATTAATTTGTAATATTCAAAACAAATTCCCCATTCATCCATGTCTCCATGCTTTATTTTGCTGAGAAATCACTTTGAAAGACACCACTCTAGCATTTCTGGCTGCAGCCATCTTAAGAAAGGGCAGATGAATTTACTTCCTGGAATCCATCTGCCTTAGCTGAGAAAGCCCCTCCTCCCCTCCCGAAGACTCCTGGGAAGTAATAAAAAAAACCCAAAACATTTAAAACAAGAAAATATATATACTTTCCTGTTTACGAATGGTAGCAGCATAAGGATTAACAATAGTGTTGAATGACAGAGCGAAGGTCTGCTTTCAGTTCACTAGGCTACATGTACATGGGCAGGAAGTATAAAAAGCACCACGTTGGAAAGCATGTCTATTTTTTTACCTTTATGCCTCTATACACAGCGGAGTCACTCCTTGTACCTGACAGTGGGCGGCGGGTGGATTCCAGAGCCAATAGCAGGCTGCCTGTTGGCTAAAGAAGCGTCCACTGCCTGCCCACAATCACAAGGGCAGCATGCCTACCTGATGGGGAACGTGTGTCTGAGAATCCACGCCCGATACAAACTGTCCCACCTCCGTGTGATTGCTGCAGCAGGCCTCGGGGGGGGCCCAGATTTCCTGTCTACAACATGTACATCAATTAAGCAACATTTGTGGTGTGGCGGTAGGCGAGTGTCTTCATTCACCCTAGTGCGGATCCTGCAAGCTGCGCTTACATGGGCAGAGGACTTTTTATTTGAATGGGATGCTGTACCTGCAGTAACAGCAGGGGGGGTGTTGATGTCCCAGACCCTTCTGGACCAAGTGGTTTTCTGCATTAACAACTAATGGCACCCCTGTGTGTCTGCAGGTTGGGGAACAAATGTGATTACACACAGATGGGACCCTACACTTCATGAATTCTCCTCATAGTCTTCTGGATAGAGAACACTGAAGTCTTGTCCTATACTGAGCACCATATCAGTGTCATTCATAGGACATCCTGTAGGCTCAATATTATAATGTAGAACGATGATGTGTGCTCCTCTCCGCCATACTGCCAGCAGACAACCAATCACAACCCGGCCTCACAGAGCCCCTGACATTCAAACCAATCATAGCCCGCCCTCACAGGGTCATAGACATTCCAAGCAATCAGAGCCTGTCATCACAGAGTTTCGGACATTCCAACCAATCACAGTCGGTTCTCACAGACTTCCGGACATTCCAACCAATCACAGCCGGTCCTCACGGTTCCGGACATTCCAATCAATCACAGCCCGTTTTCACCGAGCCCGGACATTCCAACCAATCACAGCCCGTTTTCACCGAGCTCCGGACATTCCAACCAATCATAGCCCGTTTTCACCGAGCTCCGGACATTCCAACCAATCGCAGCACGTTCTCACCGAGCCCCGGACATTCCAACCAATCGCAGCCCGTCCTCACCGAGCCCCGGACATTCCAACCAATCACAGCTCGTCCTCACCTAGCACCTGACATTCCAACCAATCACAGCCCGCCATCACCGAGCCCCGGACATTCCAACCACTCACAGCTGGCCCTCATAGAACCCCCGGGCATTCCAACCAATCACAGCCCACCTTCACAGAGTCCCGGGCATTCCAACCAATCACAGCCCGTCCTCACAAAGTCCCGGACATTCCAACCAATCACAGCTCGCCCTCACAGAGTCCTGGACATACCAACCAATCACAGCCTGCCCTCACAGAGTCCCGGATATCCCAACCAATCATAGCCTGCCCTCATAGCACCCCGGACATTCCAACCAATCACAGCCCACCCTCACAGAGTCCCGGACATCCAACCAATAACAGCCCATCCTCACAGAGTCCATGACATTCCAACTGATTACAGTCCACCGTCATAGAACCCCGGACATTCCAATTGTCCTCACTGTACCCAATAGACATTCCAACCACTCATGTCTGTATGTAATAGTGCATTAGGTGTAGGGAAACCAGGCACAAGTGTGGCAGCATAAGGACAAACTGGGTGCTAATTAGGGGCACAAATCAGGCCCTAACATGGCAAAACGGGTGCAAAGTAGGCGCTACTTATGGAGTTGAAAATATAATGACATTATCGTGCACTAATCCGGGCCTGGAGTAGCCGTCCTCTATATCGGTTCTCACCTACAGTGCCTGGGGCTGTGTTCCGGCCCCTATATGAAGACGGCTGGATACTGCTAATCTTATTGGC